ATCTATCTATCTATCTATCTATCTATCTATCTATCTATCTATCTATCTATCTATCATCTATCTGTGTTTGTCAAGTCATTACTCAAAGCAAGATACAGAACTTTTCCACTACCTATGGAAGTTCTCTTATGCCTTTCAAACCAACACCCATCTGCCCTCACACAACTGGAAGCAGTACTCCTAATGTCTACCTCTAGCCATGTTTGCTTGCCCTTAGAACTGTTGGCTTGGGGCTGGAGAGATGGCTCAGTGGTTAAGAGCACTGACTGTTCTTCTAGAGGACCCAGGTTCAATTCCCAGCACCCATGTGGCAGCTCACAACTGCCTATAATTTCAGTTCCAGGGGACCTGACACCCATGGCAAAACACAAATGCACATAAAATAAATAAAATTTTAAAAAAACTGTTGGCTAATGAACTCATATGATATATAAATGTAACACAGTTTGTGGACCCATTCTTCTGCTGGAGTTTGGGTTGCTTTTAGTGTGGGAATGGTTGTTACCAGTTCCTTTCCTTATGCTATAACAAAACGCCTGACAAAAGCAAGTGAAGGAAGATTTGTTGTTCATCGCTTGAGAATGCAGTTCATCGAGGCGGGGGAAGCACTGAGCACATTGCAGTCACATCCAGGAAGGAGAGGAGATTAGCGCCGGCATTCAACTTGACTCCTCCATTTTAGTCAGTTGCAGCCCCCAACTTGTGGGAAAGGGGCTGCCCACATTCAGGACGGGTTTCTGCTGCTCAGCTAAACCTTCTGGAAGCATCTTTATATACACCTAGAGGTATGTTTCTATGGTGATTAAAAACAGAATGTAGTTGATAGTGAAGATTTATCATCACAGGATATTACTAATGAGAACCCTTAGAAATATTAAAGAACAAATCATTTTGTGAATGTGTGCTTTATTTCTCTTAGTTCAATACATAAGTGTGGATTTTTTTATTGCCAGATTCTATATGAATCTTACACAAAATTATTTCTTCAATTATATTTAGCGATTTTTAAGTATTAGAATTTGCCTATAATCAAAGCAAGTGAAATATAACTACTGCTTTAGAAAAGAACCCAATGGGTGGAGAAGAAAAGGCCCCAGAGAGAAAAAGTATGATACATGTAAAGACCCAAAAGAAGGCAGTGTGGTTAGAGTATGTTGTCTGAAGGACAAGCGGTAGATGACGATGTCTGGAGTCAGACTAGGAAGGCCCTATTAGCACACACTCAGTGTGCCAGATTTCATCTTAACTGCATCCAACGGATGGTCCTGGATTGGGGAGGATGGACGTGTAAAGGGGAAGCAGAAAAAGTTCCTATAGTAGAGCTTTGGAGAAACGGGCAGGTTAGACTTGAGGTGCAGAGATGAGGGCAGATACAAAGTATTTTGGGAATAGAATGTGAGCTCCTCTTATCGACGGGAAGAAATTAATTTCTAGTAAAAAAACAATTTAAAGGCTGGGCCGTGGTGGCACATGCCTTTAATCCCAGCACTCGGGAGGCAGAGGAAGGCGGATCTCTGTGAGTTTGAGGCCAGCCTAGTCTACAGAATGAGTTCCAGGACAGGCTCCAAAGCTAGAATTAAAAGTCTCTCTGCAGTCAAAAAATTCAAAGAAAACACAATTATATACATAATCCAGATTCTCTATGTATTGTTTATCTTTATGTGACTTAATATATATTATTACTCTTCCTTTTTAAGGGTTAGGATTCGTAAAGCATTATTTTAATCTATGATTGTTTCTACACTTTCTTTTCTTTTTCCGAAGCCTAAGAACACTTATCAAGCACACTGTGACCCATTCAGAGGTCTTTTATGTCTGAATCTGTCCTTATTGTATATCTGTATATTGTATATTCTGGCCAAAAGAATTTTTTTAAATGTTTAGGACCAATGGCCATGGTTTGGGCTGCTGGCTCCACCCCATTTGGCTTTCCAACGTGCTGGGGCAGCACTGAACATCATGCTGACTCCTTCAGTGCAGCCGTCAGATAGCATGCAGCCAGTCCGCAAACATGTTTTTGTCTGCCCGAGCAAAAGCTAAATGCGCCAAGTAACTTGTAGCACGCTGCCCACAAAGCCCATTCAAATGCCCTGTAGAAGAATCTCCCAAAAGAGCCATCTGTGCCACCAGCACAAACCAGGAAGTAATTTCTTAAAGGAGCTGTGCATCTGCTTGCCACCAGCAAACAGAACCTACCTGAAAAACGTGGATACCAAGAAACTGTTTTTGACTCTGTTTTTGTGTGCCTAGAATCCTCTTTTTTTTTTTTTTAAGTTTCCCTAGGCCTTATGTGAATGTACATGCCCTGCGTTGCACCATTTGTAGAGGAGACTTCTCTCTGTCTTGCACGGTCCCACTAGACCAGTTTCTCTCTGCCCATGTATTCCCAAATAACCCCTTCAGAGGCTTAATATCAGTTACAATTGTTTGGCCAATGGCTCGGGCTCCTTACTGGCTAGCTCTAACTATAAATTAACCCATTTCTACTAGTTTGTATTTTACAGTGAGGCACATG